ACAAATATAATTCTTAAAAGGTAATAATGATACTTGGGGGATGAAGAAATAATTAATAATGGACATTAGATTTGCGCTGCAGCCAAACAGTGATATGAGAGCAGTGAGAGTGAATTAAATCAGTAAAACCAAAACAAAGCACTACAAGACAAAAGCTTCTGAGAGGAGCTGGGTTCAGCTGTCAATTAATCTATTCACAATATAAGCGAGAAATAGTGATTATATTTAACATTATACCTTTAAAACACCAGGAAAACATATCTGATGGAGAGGTATAGATTTTTTTCTTTCTCTTAATAATTTGGTTACCTACATCTAAATAAATCAGAGCTCTGACACTGATGATGATAAAGATTATCAGGTGCAGTCTGATTTTGCGACCATTTTTGTTCATTCTCAGTAACTCTTACCGATCTTACTCCTGTTGTTACTCTATTAGGCACTGGTTTTTGCTTCTGGTCCTTGAAAACACTTTTAACTTGTATATTTGTATATTTCTGACAGATATCTAATAATCTATTATTCTAAAACTGGACCCAGTGAGTGAAGCTGACCCAGGAACCCACTGGTTGATCTGGTTGTGAACGTTAAATTGTGGTGACTTTAAGATAAATAAAGTTCTATTGAATTGAAATTAAAGTGTTAATCAGAAGGTGATTGTAAGTAGGAAACCTGACCCCACTTGTCCAGAATACCTTATCTAAAATTAAGAAAACAAAAAAGATGAGAGGGGGTTAGGGGACTCTCAATAACCTCAGAGAGCGTGTCAAAAAAGACGCCCAGCTCTGGGGCAAGAGAAAATGTGTGTGAGGTCTGCTGGGAGGGACAGCACCTGATACAAAAATACAATAAATAATTCCTCAGCTTGGCCCTGGTGTGGTGGATCCTGTAAACCACTTTAAACTGGTTCATCCGAGCACAAGTACAAGTGGAGCTGATCCAGAGCAGTGAGTCTCCACCAGTGTCCTTTAAATACAGTTTTACGCAGCGGTGGACTCACCTGTATCTTGCTCTCGGGCAGGTGTGTGTGCGCAGCCAGCCTCTCCCTCAGGGTGATGTCCGGGTAGGGAGTCACAGCGAAGGCTTGCTCCAGCTCAGACAGCTGAGCTCGGCTGAAGATGGTCCTCTTCCTCTTCCTCTGACCCTCCATCAGAGCCGCGGCGGCAGCGGCGGAGGAGGAAGAGGAGGATCGGTCCGGCTCCGGAGAGGACACCGTGATCTCACTGCGGACATCTTATCAACCAAAAAAGGAAGGTCAAACAACTAAAATAAAATAAGGTAAATACACGTACATATAGATATAATAAAATAAATAACGATGAGGGAAATTAAATTCTAATTTTAAATCTAATGTGGACAGGTAACCACGTTTTGCCAGTTTTTACAGGTAATTAAAACGACATCACAACAAGCTGTAAGGCTGATAAAATCAAAAACAAATAACAAACAAAAACAAAACAAACAACAAAACAACAAAAACCCTAAATATTAATAGTAATACATAATAAAAAGCTATATAATAATAATAATTTAAAAACTTCATTTATATAGTACTTTTCAAAAACAAGTTTACAAACTGCTTTACAGACATGAAATAAAATATTAAGCAAAATTACAAGATTGTGATAAATTTAATGCAGCTAAAAACTTAAAGAAAAGAGACAATAAATAAACAATTTGAGAATAAGCAAATTTTTAATTATTTGGCATATTTTCATTCATTTTTTCCCCATGTAATAGCCTATATTTTGTATTTATATAGCCCGATATTTTTTTTGTTTAGTTTGATCTTTATTGGCTTATACAGTCGTTTTTGACTTTGATGATGTAAATTAAATAACCTCCCACTGACCTTTACAGTGATCCGTTTCTCCAAATAACGCCTTAAAATCCATCATGTCTTTGTGCTGGTTCTGTTTGAGTAGGGAGAAGTCTGAGTCCATGAACAGAGCCATCACTCATTCATCCACTGCTCGGCCTCCACTGACAGCTGTGGAGGAGTGACCACTTCTTATACCCACATCACATGGGACACTCAGCACCCAGCACCCAGCACCACCCAGCAAATCCAGGTGTTGTTCACCTCTGCCTCTAATCCCAACTGAGAGAACAGAGGACTTGTTTTCCTGCTGTGTTTCTTTATATGATGTTTAACTGCTCTGTCTGTTTGTGAGGAGCTGTGGGGACGTGATGTTGTGATGAACAGGCGGTCAGATGTGTATCTTTATAATCAGATAAAAGGTCAAAGATAAAATCATACTCTCCGGAAATATATTTATGCAAACAGAATATGATATAAAAACATGTGTAATTTGATTTAGAAAAGGCATTGGAAAGGATTTTAAAAGTGTTATCAGCTTATCTAAATACAATAATAATGATACAGAGGTTAGAGCCTTGAAGCCTAATCAGAATAAACTGGAATCAATTATAAAGAAGACTGTGTTTGTCTCTCTACAACAAGTTTGTGTGAAAGGTGGGCCAAAGAGTCAATAATCCAACATAGAAAACTATTTATTTATTTATTTATTCATTTATTTGTAGTCTACAGACTGGCCAGGGGCGTTTCTAGGATTTGAGGACACTAGGGACAGACCTCTGTAGAGGGGTCCAGGGGGATCCTCCTTCAGGGTTTTTTTTTTTTTACAAACAACCCAGCTGGCCACCAGTGTCGTTATAGTTTAACGGCACCAGGCTGCCTCATGGAACAACAAGGAAAGTTAAGGCAGCAGAAGTCCGAGCACAGCATGCAGGAGGGGTGGATGGGTCCAACAACCACTAACTTTCACCTAGAAATCTGGTGTTCGCTTCCTGTAAGATTGTAGAGCCAAACCCTGTTCATTTTGCCTAAACCCAACCACGTGCTTTTGTTGGCAAAGCATCACCACGTGTGTGTTGCTGAAGGAAAAAAACTTCAATTTACGGTGTTGTACCAGCATAATAGCCTGGAAATCCAGACCCAAATCTAGAAAGATTTAGGGTCTGGCTGTGAGTAATGAAAATGGCCCAACTCGAGGGGCGGCACCAAGCATGCATTTGTAAATATCACTGCACGCAATTGGATAACACTACGACCAATCAGAACAATACACGGGGTGACATATCCAGAGCTTAGCTACCAGCGGAGCTAACTGGTAGATTAGACTCTTGCCGTATCCGGTCGGCAAAACAGCAAAAACGTCCTTCTTGCAAAGGAAAGATTCGAGCACCGTCTTCTGTTCCTCTTTTAGAGAGAAAGCCAAGTCTAACTCGTTCATTGTAGCGGCCAAAGCCGTTTCAAACAACTGGTGTTCATCCGTAGCCATCTTGCAATGTTTACTGACTGATTCCAGACTTCGTCGTCGCAGCGCTGTTGTCATCTGTTTAGCTCGCCTCTGGCCTGCCTATATCAGATACACCGATGTGATTGGTGCAGCTTGGTTTCATTGGCATTGTTAATGAGTATCATTACTGATTGTCAGAGTGACTTGCTGAGCAAATTCAAATTGTGCTCTCGTGAGAACTCTGGATTTCCAGGGTACAAACATAGTGTTTTTATTTTGACAGAGACTGTATGCAAACTGTACATTTCCTGTGAAAATAGAAGTTTATTTTGAAAACAGACAATGCATGTAACAGGCTGAAGTTGACACGGCGTCCCAGAACGTCAGCAAGCAACACACCCAGGATACCTTGGACGTCATATGTGGACGTGGAAAGTCCATGACCAAACGTGGACATGTGAAGAGGTCGTAGTGAGAATGTGTTGGTTGTGACGTCAGGTGACCAAAAGTCAATGTCAGTGCTGTTGGTGTCAGAATACCTGGACTCGTACAACACAGCGTTAGCAACTTATACGGACAACCACAAGAAAAATTGGGCCTGCGATAACATTTCCACCAAACTTGAGATGAGTGGTAAATTGCTGTTAGCTGTTAGCTGTTAGCTTTTAGCCGTTAGCGGTGTCTGTAATAACTCAGTAACTCAATAAACGGTCCGTGAAAAAAATAATTTTTCCAGCAGATGTCTTGGTTACAACATGATTGAGCTAACTGGAGTAGTTTCATGTCGTATCCTACAACGGGAGGCTTTTAACAGATGACGTCCTGATGTTAGCTTTGCTGCTGCTGTTAGCTGTCCCTGTCAGCTGCAGCCACTGATGCTTTCTAGACATCGTGATTTCCCAAAACTGAATAAAGACCACACATAGCAACACAAAACTGCTTTGCTAGCTCAATCATGTTGTAACTAAGATATCCGCTGGAAAAAAAAAAAAATTCACTGACCGTTTATTGAGTTATTACAGACACTGCTAACGGCTAACAGCTAACGGTTAGCCCAGCTAATCTACGATAACCATGTTATTAATTACAAAATGCGCACACAGAAATAGTAGAAAAGAATATATATGTATATATATATAGATATAGATATAGATATATGTAGCTAAACTTTGCTGGTTTTCTACCCAGAAGTATTTGTAAACAACGAGGCGATTCCCTCTATAAAAGCAGTTTAAGTACAAAAAAAAATCCCTATGTGGATCAGTTTATTTTCACAGTGAATTAGAAAATGGTTGAAGGGCCACCCAGCACCCTACCGGGGACCATATTTGGCCCACAGACCGTAAGTTGAGTATCACTGCATTATATAATGAGCAAATACTGAATTCTGTGATAATATCTGAGGCACTGTTGTATTAATAAATAATTAATAATAAGAGGTGTGCAGGAGACCAATAATCCTAATCTCTGCTGACTGAATTGTTCTTTCTTGTGAATGGAAAATAGACTTAAATACAGATGTAATCTAACAGTGTGAGTACGATGTCAGACTCCAGGATGTTGAAATGTCTATTTTTGCCTCTTTTTTCCTCAATTTCCTCTTTAAAATATTAGTGTATTGATATGTTTTCTTTGTTATAACTATGCATAAACTCCTATCTCCATCTCTATGATGCCTAGTAAGGAACACAGTGTCCACATATCGGTGTCAGACAGTAAAATTTATTGAGTTCATTTTCCATGTCTCAGCATCATCTCAGTGTCACAGCATATGTGGATGTAAAATCAGTCAGCAATCAACTCCACTGTATTTCATCAGATCTTTAGCCCCACAGTGGCCTACAGCCTACAGTTTAATTATTCAGTGACATCTGTGAAACACACATCCTCCTCTGGTGCAACATTAAAGGTTAATACAGACACTCACTCTCAAACATGTGGTGATAATAAGGATTTATACAACACAGCACTCTTCGTCCAATATATCTCAACTACACACACATATACACACATACAGAAATAAACTACTGTTAACAGACCAACCCTGATATTTGTGTGTAAATTCATCATCTCAGCATGCACACACACACACACACACACACACACACACAGAGTATTATCCCCGTGAGTCTCCACTGTGTGTCTGTGGAGTGATATCCTGCAGCGTGTGGGTGAATGTTCATTTATCCACCACCAGGAGGAGCTGTAGTCTTGTCAAAGTGCTCCCACAGCAGCTCTGGGTCTCCACTCAGCTCAAAGAAGAGAATGAAGAGGTTGAAAAATGTTGAGTATAAAAGGAGAACTGTGCAGAAAATTTAGATCCTCCAATTCTGAGCTTCACTCAAACTTGCGCAGGTGGTTGTAGAGGGACTGGACATAGGTGAAGACACACATGGGGTCTGGTTTACGACCCATGATCATCATGTCCTCCACCTCGATCAGCCGGTCGCAGCTTGCCTTCACTCTGGGTGCACAGACAGAGAATCACAAGTCAGAGGGGAAGACTTATTGCTGCAAGAGTATAGTTCAACTGTACAGGGTCAAGACTGAGAAACTGTGCCTACTTGGGGCAACAAAAAATTGTCTTGGGTGCAAAAGGACGGCAGAGGAGACACCTGCACACCAATATAACTGGGCAAGGAAGCCACAGAAACAGCAGCAGACGTTTCAGTCCTTGACAATCATCAGTGCTACTGACATGAGTGCTTCACAGAGCAGATACAGACACAGACAGATTCCTACCAGGTGTGATGAATCAGTCAGCTGCTGCCACTAATTAGATGAGATCAACTCTGAGGAGCAGAGGCCTGACGACCAAATCACTATCACCTGTCTGAGAGTCTCCCTTCCCATAACAAACACCACCACACTACACTACGTCACATATACACCTAACGTTTAGAAGTAGAAGGCTTGGCCGGTATAAGTCATGGAAAATGACACCCGTGCAAGTTTTGTTTCAAGCATCAAATAAGTTGTTTGAGTTAATTTGCCTTACTTGACATTGCACGTCCTTCAAGGCCACTATTGCACGTTGCAATTAAGTTGACGAATATTAGAGCTGCATTATGTCAACGGCTAGCTTACAGAAAATAAATTTGGTTATCTAAGAAGATTACTGTAACTATTAATTTCATTACAAACAATACAATTCCATGACTTTTCCAAAACTTCCAATGAGTTTTACTACTTCCATGACTTTTCCAGGTTTTTGTCTAGGGGACCAAGGTGATGCTAACTACCACGTTGCAAATGGGGAAACAATATCAATTTCCTAAAGCCCAAAGTGACATATTAGAATCGGTAGGATTAAGATTAGGATATGTAAAGATATTCAGTTTACAGTGAAGAGACAAAAACAGAAAATCTTGAACCTGAGAATGTTTGAGACCTCCAGGTTTTCCATGACTGTGGGAACCCTGAATCCTATCAGCTTTTTGTTGACAGAACCAGGACGATGCTAACTTCCACGTCAGCCTACAAAAAACATCATCACTGCAACACTCTATTTCATGTGGTAATTGTTAGTTTGTGTTTTTACATCTCCACTGACCATGGATACGTGGTCAAGACCCCTGGAGGTCATGTTCCATTATGACAGACGTCATGGCGTCAGAAGTACTAGGCTTACTGATGAATGGACAAGTTGGACCAAGGTCAAGTTAAATGTGTCAGAGCACCATTTTAGTTAATAATATACGTGCCACCATCCTATATAAGCTGTGTCTTTCTCTGTTCACAATCATCACATAGCTTCTGCATGTAGCCATGTTGATCCAAGCTCGTAATTAAATGTGCATTAAGAAAGAACTCCGTGATCGGCCTCATCCTTGAATTCTCCAGATCACCACAGAAACACCTACTCAATCAACCTACTTTTTGCTCTACTAAAGGGGATCAAGATGCTAACGTTAGCAATGGACTTCACCAACAGTGCCAGCTGCGATGAGGACACATTAGTGGAACAGATGATGACACTGGAGACACATGTTAATACCAGGTGTCCATGTGGCCAGGTTAAATCTAGATCCAATCTGGATATAAGATGGATTTTAATGCAAGGTGTAGCTACAGAGGGTCAATGTGACAGCTGAATCATTTTAAGGTTTAATCTACTGATTTCTCTACAGATGGTCCGGAAATAATGGAACAGTGACGATTTCCTAAAGCCCAAAGTGACAAATTAAAATCAGTCGTCTAAAATGTAAAGATATTCAGTTTACAGTGATACAGAACAAACAAAAACAGAATATCCTCACATTTGAAAAGCTAAAACCAGAGAATGTTTGAATTTTTTTTTTTTTGCTTGAACTAAACAATTAATGGATTGTCGAAATTGTTGCATATTTATTTTCTGATGTAAAGAGGATCAAGAAAAGATCCCAAAACAGCCTTGTGTCTTAGACAGCCCTGATGAAAACAGACTTTTCCTTTCTAACAAACATGTTTTGAGACATTAAAGAACATCACGATGCATATAATAATTCATATATATTTACTATCCCATAAGTCTCCTCTCTGTGATCTCTTTAAGAGGTCAAACTTAAAGCTGCCACGACGCACGAAGGATTGATTCTGCGACCAAGTGAATTCTGTTTGTCACTCAAATCAGCTTAATTCTGCAGCCGTCGAATAACACATTCTTAAATCGAGCGTCTTTAAGCCCTGACATAAAGTATTTGCGTGGCCATGCTTGAGGCCTGTGTAATGTCTTTATGTCCAGTGTCTGTTAAGCTGAGCTCTGTGAAGCCTTGGAGTCAGTGCACCTTCCACCAAACACGTAAAAGAAAAGAGCGTGGTGGAGCAGACAGGATGTAAAGCCTGTGTGTTCTGGCGTGTAAAATAAAAACTTTGCAGAGGTCTGTGAAACAAAAACAAGTAAAGAAAACACATTAAGAAACATTCAGCCACAGTGAAGTTAAGACTCGCATTGTTGATGCAGTTAAGGCCAATAAATACTTTAAGGCTGATTCAATAAAAATCAGAGACCACAACTGACTCTGCTGACACACAAGTGTTTCTGCTGTTGCATAACGAGACCATTGAGTTAAATTCAATGTCTCCTGTGGCTTTAAAGGAACAGCTTAACATTTTGGAAAACATATTATCAGGGTGTGAAAACTGATCAAAAAACAATCACAGCTGATTAACTCTCTGGGAAACAAGTGACAGAAGCAGAGATAGGTAACCTTTATGTGGACAGAAACAACTTAAAGGTCCAGTGTGTAGGATTTAGGCTGATATGAGTATGCTTTCTTTAGTGTATAATCACCTGAAAATAAGAATCATCATATTTTCGTTACCTTAGTATGACCTATGTATATCTACTTAGGTAGTGGGTCCTTGTTTATGGAGATCACCATGTTTCTACCGTAGCCCAGAACAGACAAACCAAACACTGCCACTACATAAGGACATTCATGTTTTTGCAGTAGCCACTGTAGTTAGCAGCCCCTTAGCATTGAGGGCGTCGAAAAAACACTGACTTTTAATGTGAAGCTGCTTTATTCAGTGTGTTTACCACTTTAGATAACTGAGTCTGTTTATTTTGGAGAGGAAGAGACCTCTGTGGATAAATCAGCTCCTGGAAAAACCTCCTGAACGTCTGGATCTTAAGTTGTCAGAGAAAAAAGGTGAGCAAAGGTTAGCAGGTGCTGGGCTAGCGGCACAGTTTAATACATCGTACTAAATCAGTTTCTCGCACTAACACACCCAGATACTGCGACTGAGAGTTGAATTCCTCCTGCATGTATACAGTCAGTCAGACCCAAACTGGCCGAGGCACTCTGAGCATGCTCCACAGTTTCCACCCCGGGCTTTGAAGTCCGAAGTCGAAACATTAAATGTGTAACAGAAGAAGAAACCGGTAACAACATGGAGAAATCTACATCCAGAGCTGTGACTTTTTGGACGGACGAAATGTACAGAGTTGTCCACCACTGTACCAGTTAGCTGCTAGCTAACCATAGCTAACTTGTTTGTCCATTGTTTGGTCTGTGACGTAATATTTCAACTGGAAAAAGGTCCAATACTAACAAGCTGAAAGGGGGCATATCTCCACCTATCATGGTAGAGTCTGACATACTTCTGTTGTCAATAAATCGATTGTATACTGGGACAAGGACAGTAGTCCAGTTAAATGGCCTAGTTGAACTGTAACCGTAGCTCGACTTAAAGGGAAATTTCGGTTTATTTCAACCTGTCTCCTATCGTCCTAAATTTGTTTCAAGTGACAAGTGACATAAAAATAATAGTTAGCATGTTAGCCGTTAGCCTAGATACAGCCGGGCGCATAGTAGCGTCAGACTGCACTTTGGAAAGCAGAGCTAAATGGTAAACAAACATGGCACCACACCGATAAGGTAAGACAACACATTTACATGTCGTTTTCTATATGTTCTCTGACATTTATCCTAACAATATGAGGCGGTCTTTGTGGAAAAAAAGCTTGTTTAGTGGACTAACTTTGCACTTGAAGGTTACCCGTTCACTTACGTTTTAACAGGTCTGACGCTACTATGCACCCCGGCTGTATCTAGGCTAACGGCTAACATGCTAACTATTATTTTTATGTCACTAGTCACTTGAAACAAATTTAGGACGATAGGAGACAGGTTGAAATAAACCGAAATTTCTCTTTAACTGTGCACATAAATGTACGGAGTGACCTTGACCTTTAAACTGCAGCAACCAAATTCTATGCAATTCACCCTTGAGTTCAAGTGGACATTTGCACCAAATTTGAAAAATATCCCTCAAGGTGTTCTTGAGCTCTTAAGGTATTCACGAGACAGGGAGACAGACTTATGGACATATGTATTAACATAATCCTTCCTGCCACAGTTATTGCCGGCACATAGGCTTAAAAAAAACTATTGATATGCAGAGTTATTCTTGTTAGTTTGGGAAAACCCCTAAAACAGCACTGTGTGACAAAATTCCTCCCCATCAGTGGTGTAGTGCAGGGTTTAGGGGCTGTACACATGCCATGTTTTTGTGCCCTGAAATCCATTGTTTTCAATGTAGATACATGGCAGAGCGACGCCGTTGAGTGCACACACGTTCCCAGGCGCCTATTTTCCTGGACACGACGGCTGCACCCTGAGATAAACTGAGTTCAACTTTTGAAACACAGCAGCACGCACCGCATGTCATGTGATGTGGACCAACCAACCTTATGAATGTTAGCTCTTCAGCCCTTAATGAGGTCGATCAACTCTACAGTGAATATGTTATTAATGAAGTACTTTATATTCATCATATCAGGAACCCTTCTTAAAAGCTTCCTATTCGTCAGACTCTGATGTCACTCACTCTGCAGTTCCAAAGGCCAGCTCAAAGTTGTGTTTGCGGTTGGCGGGCGACAGAGAGTTGTAATCAAACTCAGTGGGGAAGAAGGAGTGGACCAGAGCGCAGAAAGCCATCCCATCGCTCCAGCTGGACGAGAAGTTCTGGATGTCGATGTTCTGCAGAGAAACAGAGGAGATTTGGTGATGATGTAGCAGAGAGTGGCTTTCTTTGTCGTCTCAGACCTTTGTGTGCAGAGAGGAAAGTAGAAAGAGCTGAAGGATTGAAGGAGGTAAAAGAAGATGAGTTGTGAAACTGACTGGCAGCTGGTTGGAGCTTCATGAAGCCATCTCCCCGTTCATTGTCTAGCCCATAATTATGATAGATAAAACAGACGTTCCTTCCTCTCTCTGCTTTCAGTCTGTTACATGCTTTTGAAATCATGTCATTTCAAGGCTGCCCTTTATTAGTCTGGAGTTTGCTTTGAATGAAAAGCAACATGTCAAGTCATCTGATGAACATCTCTCTCTCTCTCTCTCTCTCTCTCTCTCTCTCTCTCTCTCGTGTGTGTGTGTTTGCTTCCAGTTAATAAGAGTCTTGGCTTTGCCTGGCTTGACTATAACTGAAGCCACATGGAGCGGCTGGCACGGGCTGCTGTGAGGAAAAGGGTACCAGAGTGCAGCAATGTGTCGGTGTTCTCAACCATGACTCGAACTGGCTCAACCACACACACACTCCTATATTCACTGGGACCCTCACTTCCATACACCTCTACGGTTGAGAGACAGATGATTAGCACATTGTGTGCTGACAGGTTAGAGTTATGTGAATAGACAGATCGGAGTTAGGCTCATTTAAAACAGATTACTTTTACATCTCATCCAAAATTAAAGGACCACGCTGGAGATTTTAACACACGTATTATTTTTATTGTCTGTGCAGTAGAGCCTGGGTTCCTCCAAGCAGTACAGTATGGTACGGTTCGTATTTCTTCCGTTTCCACTGTGAAAAGTTGTTCTGTACCGTCCCCATGTTTGGTCCCCCTCTGTTGGGGTACCTAGCACACAGATCTGGTACTAAAAGGTGGAGCTGTGAACACTGCAGTCTGATTGGTCAGTAGAGGACGGTCACTCGCTCAGGGCTGAGTTGTGTCTGGTTTTGAGGCTCATGTAACCACTGTTCATACTGTGGAGAGTTTTATTAGTAAACTGTAACTATAAAATGAAAGGATGTTTTGCTGCCTCTCACAGCAGCTGGAGTCTGAGAAATAATAACTTCATTCACTGGGCCGACTGCCGGTTACTTTTAAGGTGGAACGTTAACTTGTAATGTTACTCAATGCATGAGTTGATGACGTGAATCCATCAGCACACCTTAAATTTCACTGTGACAACTTTGACCATCACTTTAGTTTTTATTGTCTCTCTTGGATGAGACAGACTTTTAGTGATGAGTGGATCTTCAAGCGTTTAAAAATCTATATTAATTTCGACCAAATTATGTGAAGGTCATATAATCTAATCCTCACTTCCTGTGGGCTCCAGCAACACTAAACCCCTGAGCTTGCCTGAGAAGGACTAAATGCACAAAGCACAAAATGTTGATTGTTGACGCTTAAAGCTGTTGTAGAAATATTTTTAATGTTGAGGAATGCCAGGCTGGCCATTTTCCCCTGTGTCAAGACCTCATGCTAGGCTAGGCTAAACACCCATGGATGTATAAAGAGAACAGTATACAGGGTTGGTGGCGGGGCCCTGTTCATTCCTATGGAAGTTGGTCAGTTGTGCATGAAGCCAAAATGGTTCAATGGTATAAAGTTACCGTGGTAATCAGCATTACTTACTGTTATCGTTCTGACTGGATTAAATCCTGATACTTAAACGAGTCATTTCGCAAAATCAACTATGATCTGCTTTGGAATATGGTCAGTAAGGTAATATTTGTGCAAGTGAGCTCAACAGGCGCAGTACTTGAAGCTTTGGTCTTGTGTGGAGCCTGGTAGCAACTTATAGTATTTGGACCAAATGTCAGAACATGTGTCTCTGAATAGGCTGAACGTGGACAACACTGTGTTACCTGGTAGCCTATGGTCTTGGAGCGACACCACTCGAGAAGAATCTGTTTGATGCTGCTGGCGCTGGAAACTCCAAAACTCTGAGACCGCTTCAGTTTGGGTTTAGACTCCACTGGTTTGGGGCGACTGTATGTAAACAGAAACAGGGCATGAATACAGATTCAATGTTAAGGAGCCTCATATCTACTACAATTCGCATGTGTCCCAGATGCAGCATGTACCTGTTACTGGCTTCAGAGTCCAGTCTTTCAAAGATAGATCGACGAGCCTGAGCGCCAATGTTTCGTGGTAGAGTCTGCGACCTCACCAGCCTCTTCTCTCCTACCTGCCCAAAGGATCTGCCACTGCTTACATCATTGTCTCTAAAGGACGGGAGCACAGAAGGGTCAGACAAAGCAAAACACATTTAACTTATCCTAAAGGACGTCGTTCATGAGTCACTTTTTGCTCACCTGTCATTCTGCAATAACCCTGAGTAGGTCACAGACTTGGGCGGGGCTGAGTTTGCTTTCTCTGCAAGACACAAACATTTTACAAATATTTTTTCTGACATAATACAAATATTTTTGGACATTATACAAATACTTTTCAGACATTTTGCTGATATTTTTGTACATTTTACTTAAAAATTTTTTTTTAGAGTTTTTACAATTTTTGTTGGACATAATACAAATATTTTTCAAACATTTACCAAATATTTTTCGGACATTTTGATAATATTTTCTGGACATTTTGATAATATTTTTCTGATGCTTTACAAATATTTTTTCAGACATTTTACTGATATTTTTGGACATTTTGCAAATATTTTTCTGACTTTTTACAAATATCTTTTAGACATTTTAATAATATTGTTTGCACATTTAACAACTATTTTTTGGACATTTTACATATCCATGATATTTTTTCCTAGCTGGCTGCCAGTGTCATTAGATGAAGATATTTGGTTGAATTTCAGTTGTGATGCTAGGTGTTTGTTTGTGTTTGCTGGTTTTAAGTTGTGTTGTTAAACCCAAATCCAGCATCTTCCAAAAGTCTAATGCCAACGTCATGTTAATGTAGAACACAGACATTTTGTTGTAAGGTATGAAGAACAAAACTCAGCGTCTGCAAAACATCATGACGTGAAATTCTAACATCATTAGACATTTAAAATACATCAACCTGATTTTCATTCCAACCAAAATTTGACATCTATTTGACGTTACAGTCCAATGTCTTTTTGTCATCATATTGACGTCTGGTGCCAGCTGAGCAAGCAGGAGAGAACATGTGTCTGAAAGCTTACCCTGAAGGCGGGGAGATCCCAGAGTTCTGACAGGTGTAGGTGTCCATGTAGAAGATACTAACAGCAACAAAGGAAAGGGAAACTGAAAGTTAGAGGTATATTTTGCTGCAGCCATGTAAAAAATAAATAAATAAATAAACAAACAATTCACCTGGTTGAATTGGAGACTCCTCTATTGGTTGGATCTGGTTGGAGCTAGCAGCTGATTGGCCAGTAGGTGAGGCGTCGGAGAGTGGAGGGGAACGAGAACCAACAGGGCTGCTGGGAGAGTCAGGGCCCTTTATTTCTGCTGTTTTGGTTGTGGCGGTGATGGGCAGATGGGGCATCCGCATGGCGACAGGGGCCGTGTGCTCGTGTGGGAAGTCATTGGGTGGAGAAATTTTACCATGTACCAACTCTGAATTCTCTGGATGGATAAAAAGGTAAAAAATTATTCCATTAATGAAAGTATTTTTAATGTATTTCTATAACAGAGTCACCAATTCAGTATCTGACCAAATGTCTCCCCTTCTGTTCCTGACTTATGGTGCTACCTAATGGCCAGAAAAGTGTTTTTGCAGAACATTATGATGTCACAGTAAAGTTGACTTTTGACCTTTTCGATCTAAAATGTCATCACTTCATCATTTAATCCTGTTTTTGTGACATTACCTGTGGTGACAGCGTGTCCATTCTCCAGTCCAGCATGTGTTGGGGTGGGGTCCACCTCTATTGGCTCCTCTCGTTCAATACTCTGAAAACACACAGAACCACAGTGAACAACAACACACCAGCAACCTTCTTTAAAGGTGTATGAGGTCATATTTGACCTTCACTGGTGACCGGTAGAGAGCTGCCGGTGGAGTGTTTTTACTTCCAAAACAGAGAACAGGGTGGAAAATTAGCTTTGAAAGCCAGCAATTTAACCCTACGAAACCCACAGAGACCTATTTTTGGCTGTTTTTTTAGGGGACACAGGATCTTTGTGGGGATATATGAGGGTCAACAGTATATGCCACATGGACACGGTTAGCAATTTTTGAGTTGATACCATTTGGACACAGTTTGGGTGCTAAATTTGAGCATTTGTTAAGACCTTGAGGAACACTACTGAAAAATCTACTCTGTGATTTGGTATCAGAAACTGCTAAGAAACCCCCTTATTGTCAATATACCTTTGAAAGTAAAACATCCTCTGAATGCCCCAGGTCTCTTGTTTGTGTCTGTAACGTTTCACGAGGCTGTGATTATCCCACAGGTCACTACAGGTCATTTGATACGATGAGGTCTGTTAAAAAGTGGTCCCATTACAGTTGCTAATATGCTAATGCTTATATGCTAATGAGTAAACTTGGCAGTAAACTACAATATTAGTGAGTTAACTTGCCAACTAGGTAGACTATGCTAAATAAACTTGCCAAGAGAGTAGAATATTGATGAGTTAGCTTGATAAGGAGGTTGGCTATGCTAATGAGTAAACTTGCCAATAGACTAGAATATTAGCGAGTTAGCTTGCTAACTAGGCAGGCTATGCTAATAAGTAAACTTTCCAATAGACTGGAATGTTAGTGAGTTAGCTTGCTAACTAGTAGGCTTGCTAACTAGGTATATTTTTCAGTTGCAGTATTTGCAACTGAAAAATATTATCATTAATCTCTGTCAACAAAAATCTAGTCAAGCAAGCGTACTCGTTAGCCTACCTTCTTAGCAAGCTAACTCACTAATATTCTTGTCTATTGGCAAGTTTACTCATTAGCATAGCCTACCCATTTAGCGAATTAACCCACTAACCCTGCAGTAGTTCATGAGGATTTTGTTCAGTCTAACAGATGTTTTTGTTTAATTGTATTAACTTTAATTTGGAAACATTATCTCAGAAAAAGCACAAAGAAAATTTGAAAGAAGCACAGGAGCAGCACACTGATGATGCCAGATGATTAAGCACTAGATTAATTAATCACTGTGGTGCTGATCAGTTGTATTGATTGACTGCCTCCAGTATTATCATTAATTATTTTAACTACATTGCACTTGTTGCCCCTGTGATCCTGTGTGAGTTCTGCCTCCGTTCATAAACCAATATGTTGTGTTTGGATCACAGACAAAGAGTCACAGCATCGTGTTCCTCTGCTTTGAACCAAAACAGAAATCCAGATGTCCGCTGCTCATTGAGTCATCGTTGGACCATCTCACTCTTTCCAGGTTTTGGACTTTTCTCTAACATGTGGGTTTTTTTGACATGACTTCAGACAAAACAAAATGAACCAACACATCGGCGAGGCACGACACGACTCGACGCACTTCAAAGTCGGCGGTGTGTGGATAAATGAGCTGGTTGTTGTCTGTTCTGAGTGTGTGCCTCCTCTCCTGTGATAAGACTTGAGGAGTCTTTGTTTTAAGTCAGGCGCCACTGTCACTGACAAACTCACTGATGGGAGAGCTGCCAAAATGTAACTGGTGATCTGGCAGCCTGACTGCTGAGATGATTGAGATCAAGTTTGAATGTCAGACATCATCAGGATCCAGAGTTCACATTTCATCGTCTATTTGCACGGCTGTTATAGTCGTGGGGGAATGTGGGACTAGTTGTCCAGGGCCCCAATAGCAGGAGGACCCTTAAAAAAACTGGAATTAAAAGTTTGGTTTTGTTTGCCATCCATCCATCCATCCATCCATCCATCCATCCTAACCCTAACCCCAGCGACCCTTTCCAGCCTCTCCTGGGGGACCCCAAGGCGTTCCCAGGCCAGATGAGATATATAATCTCTCCAAGTTGTTCTGGGTCTGCCCCGGGGCCTCCTACCAGTGGGACGTGCCCAGAACACCTCAAACGGGAGGCGCCCTGGAGGATCCTGATCAGATGCCCGAACCACCTCAACTGAACCCTTTCGACATTAAGGAGCAGCGGGTCCACTCCGAGCTTCTTACCCTATCTCTAAGGCTGAGCCCAGACAACCATCGGAGGAAACTTAGGCCAATTGTATCCACGATCTTATTCGTCCGGTCACAATCTCCTCCAAGAATCGCCAATTAAACGTGGTGGTGGGGGGGGGGGGTTTGCATGTCCTTGTAATCCTGGGAGCGGTGTTTTTCGGGGCTAATAGCGCCTGGTAGGGTCTCCCAGGGCAAAGTAGTCCCAGGGGAGGGGCCAGACTATGAGCGGTTCAGATGGACCTTGATGAAATGGCATATTTACACTTTGAGCAGCTCGCCTGCTATGGGGACATTGGACATGAGAGAGACATGGATCAAGAGAGGAAGGACAGGGGGCCCACAGAGACTGCTGATGCACAGGGCCCAGAATTTGGTGCTACGCCCCTGTCTATGATCAGTGCTGACCTGCAGCAGTGGCTCTTTTTCCTCTCTCCAAACACAATCAGCGACATGGAAACAACTAATCACCATCGTGAGTAGATACCTCTATCTCATACTCTTAACCACATGGTGCTGCAGCTGACCCACATAGGTTGTGGGTCAAGCTGTCACGTTCCATGTGGTCCTGTCAGAGAGATAGACGGAGCTTAGCTTTGATAGTCGGCCCCTTTGGCAAAGAACACAGCTCAGGTCAACAGTGCAGCGCTGATAGTTGTGCAGGTTTTCTCAAGGTCAGTATCAAACCACATGCCACATTGTATCTGTGCTGGTGCAACAGACCCTGAAGGAGGCTTTGAGGAGATGTAACACACCCTGACTGTGAACAGCTGGTTGTGTTTCAAACTTGGCTGTCACAGTGGAATGAAACAGACAAGGCTGATTTCTGTGTTTTGACCGAGAACATTATTTCACCACTGGTGCATCTGATGCATCGGCTCTGTGTTTAGATAACGTCAGCGCGTTTGGAAGCAGAGCCGCAGCATCTGGTCAGCTTGTCTCTGCTGTCAGAAAAACCACCACATGAACGAGTGGTGGATGTGACTGTACAGAAAAACAACCTGAACCACTCACGTTCATCTGTGATCTTCTGAAAGTGAGGAGAAGCAGTAATTAAGGGTGACTTTTTAAACAACGTATCGTAGCAACAAGTTCTTGAGTCTTTTTGGCTGGACCGCAGCAAAGTGTGGGGCAGCCCTGTGAACCTGACTGTCACTGAGTGAGTGAAATTACACCACTGGTTGGCCAGGTTGCAGTTTCCCCTCTGACTAGTGCTCTTTCAAAATGAGTCAGGGCGGCAGTGTTTCCGATGGTAACATCTTTGTTTTGTTTATCAATCATCTGCTCCAATCCTCAGCACATATGCAGTTGTTTGTTACCGTTATCATGCTCTTAATTGCATGTTTAAAATTCCATTATTTTGCATTTCAAAACAGTTTTGAAGTCCATATCAACAAGGTGAAGCAATGTGTCTTGGCTGGTGATCAAATGAATGCAAAACATTTACTTGACTTTTGATTTGTTTATTTCAAATCACTGCTACACTGCTATGACAGCATGCCAACCTGAGTTGGTTGCCACATTTTTGGGTGGTAGCACAAAATGTCAGGGACAGATATCTCAAAACTGCGACAAATAACGCCAAAACTATCTGCATGACCTGGGAGGTTATCATGTACACCAGACAGGACCCCAGGTGCAGGCTATGCAAAGATGCTTCTGAGACAGTTCAGCACATCAGGAGGGTGTAAGATGCAGGCAGGAAGAGCGTACATGGGACACCATTACCAAGTGGATGGCATAGTGTACAGGAACATCTGCACAGAGGATGAGCTGGAAGTCCCAAGGTCACAATGCAAGACACTTCCTAAGGTAGTTGACAATGACCAAGCTAAGATTCTGTGGGACTTCCAGATCCAGACTGACAAACTGGTGATGGCTAACCAACTGGACATCATGTTGATGGACACACAACAGAAGAAGGCAGTGGTGATAGATGTAGCAATCCCGCGTGCCGTCAACATCAGGAAGAAGGACCACAAGAAGCTGGAAAAATACCAAGGGCTGAAAGAGGAGCTAGAAAAGATGCGGAGAGTAAAGGCAACAGTGGTGCACTCGGGACGGTGACCCCCATACTGGGAGAGTGGCTCCAGCAGATTCCAGGTACAACATCTGAGGTCTCTGTCCGGAAGACTGTGGTCCTTGGAACCGCTGAGATACTGAACCCTCAAACTCAACTTGAGGAGGACATTCCACTAACCCCATGGGGGTGAGAGATCGCAAAGTACCTTTTTTATCTGTTCTAAATCTACCTTAAAGGGAGATTTTTCAAGTTTTTAACACTCTTATCGACATGAGAGTAGACAGATATGCTTGCTTTATGGAAATGTATGTTTATTATTATTAAAACAATCCAAAACAATTACAGATACTGTCCAGAATGTTCTCCAGAATAACCTCAAAGGTACTGCATGCTCAAAATGCTGAAAGCATACCATGACAAACTCAAGCCCAACAAGCAACAAGCATTACTTAGTAATACTAACACAATGTAGTGTCCAACTTTACACTTGTAAAGGTAACTAAACAGCTGTAACTAAACAGCTCAACGAACTCCAGAGGTAACTCAGTTCACCTGGACCATAAATGCAAATAACTTTGGTCTTGTCTAGAGAACTGCCTGGCCATTAAAAACACCCCTTTCTTTATCCGTTTCTGCTCATGGAGCTTTGTCTCTGTTTGCCATCTACAACGTCAATGCTGCATCGCTGCCCGATTTCCCAAACTACGGGGTGGGCCTAGGGTCATAATTAGATCAGAAGATTGGCAATTTTTGAAGTATCCTTGTGAAAGATACTGAACCCCAAACTGCTCCCGATGGCT